GTTTCAAGAGCATATTATTTTAGTTTGTTTTTGTTTGTTTGGGTTTGTTTTTCAACCCAATTATACTTTTATACTTCAATTCACTAATTATACTTCACTCACCTGATGACCTTGTGTTGGACAAAATGGGCAATCACTACTTTATCTTTAATTTCCATGAAACCAATTCTAATTAGCAAGCACATTTCTGTTTGTTGTTGTTGTTGTTGTTGTTGTTGTTGTTGTTATGCCAACAGGTGATTTATGAAACAGGATTTATGACTAGGGTCATATATATAAAAAATAAAGAACTTACCTCTTTTACAAGTATCTTTACGAGTCTGAGTTATTGTACCTACAAAAAAAAATCAGAACTGTGATATTATCCTTGTTACAATTTCCTCTTGGATCTCTTGTAAAACACATTTTTAATGTCAATGACATTAAAATAAAGAATAAACTTTCTTTCTGTTCTTTCTGCTTAAAAATGTCTTAATATCATTCATGAAAGACATGTTGAACATAGGCCAACGAGTCATTTACAACAGTTTAAATACAGACAATCATTTTGGGGAAAATACTGGAAATCACTTTTTATCAGTGTATAGTATCATGAATATCCATCCACTGCTCCTCTACTGCAGTGTTCCACCTCAGACACCAGAGGGCGCTTGGGAGCTTTGTCAACCCCCTTTTATCAAAATAAAGAGGTATACAGTCTCACAGTCCCATTTTTAAACTAAAGCTTGCTGCTATTACTCAAACTTTTAGACAGGACAGTGCACTCAAGCCCACTACTATCAGTCTCTGAAATTAAAGTAGACAAACTCCTCCGTGGTGCTTTGAAAAGTCTGTTCTTAACCTAGAAAACAGAAATGAGTAACCTTACTTATAGCAGGGACGGAGAGTAAAGCTGAAGGTGCAAGGTGTAAAAGACATAAACACGGAGGCGTATTCATGAGGTCTAACCACGCCTCCGTTAGACTGCGCTTCCGTGTTTACACACCCACAAAAACAGGAGACTCCAGCGGCCGTCGGGCGGCTGTTTACCGAGCAAGCACAGAGTAGCCGTGAGGAAAGTGACAGCCACACGGGAGGCTCGGTGTATGGTGAAACACAGGTGATTTCAGCTTCCACGGTCGCATTTTAAAGCGTAATGTTCACTCGAAGGGGGCATGGAGACGTCAAGAAATCTACACAGAAAGTTCTGGACCCAAAGAAGGATGTCTTTACCCGGTTCAAACACCTCCGGACTCTGTTAGGTGAGTGAAATGTCACCGGGGAGCTGGATGCTGCATCGTCGAGGCTTAGCTAAGTGGAGCTAGCTAGCTGGCACCAGCCGACTGCTAACGTCAAACCAGGTGTCAGGTCAGCTGGCTGCTTAGTGCGAGTCCAGCCGGCTGACCTGTAACATGCATCTGCATTATGCCGGTACCCTCTGCTGTTTGAAGTCTTTGTTCATTTAAAATATGAGACAAATCGCACTGTGATGAGGCATGGATGCTAGCTAATACAAGCTAGCTCCCCTGCGGCTACCTAGCCAGCCAATAATGCTAACTGATGCAGGGGAAACAGATGCCGAGAACAGGCTTTGCTGCTCTTCGGTCCTGTGCCATCATTATAGTGTTAAACGTAACTGAAGCTTCGTCATTCAGCATCGAGTCGCACAGGTTGAAGTCTCTGGACTTTTGAAGAGAGGACAGGGCTTTCTTACTGCAGGTTACCTTCCCGAGTTTCAGTCAACTTGCCTCTACCTCTTTTTGAGAAATTTGACATGATAATGACATAAACGTGTTACACAAGAGCAGTCATTTATTTTAATCCACTGGACAAGGAAGTGCAGAATTTATGAGGCTCATAAAACTGTTGTCTTCCTGCGCTGCGTTAATAAAAAAGAGACACGACTATGTTCTGCAGTCACCTGACATGTGTTGTCCATACGAGCTGTTAAACGGTCTGAGTTTGCACGGCTTGTTCCACTGATAAACTGTAATAATGACAAGTGAATGCTGAATCTACACTGATTTAAGCAGAACCGATGACGTGCAAGTCGTACATTTTATCATGCCGAATCATATTGGGATTTGAAGGCACCTTCATCCTTTTTATAAATGAAGAGCGCATCCATTGGCTGAAAAATATATGTGATAGGCTAATATCTGGTGATATGTCACTGGTGTATTATTGGTTTCTCGTAGTTGGAACTCAAACGTTGTATTAGAGGTAAGGAGGTCAAACGTTGCAGTCGCCTCCCATCAGAACTCTGTTGACAACATCATGAATGCTGTAGTACTATATCTACTGCTCTTCTGTTATTCTCTGTGCTTTGTCAGTAATCGAGGTCAGTGTGGAGAGGAACAAAGAGATCTGGAGAAAAACTGCAATCTGCTCACTCTGAGTGCAATAAATCATGTCTTTCAGAAATATCATTCAAAGTAGGTCATGTATGTGTATTTCTTGACGTGGACCACACAGAGGCGAACATCTAGGCAGTTAATTTTCTCTTGTTTTTATTTGATGATTAATGGTTATATCACCAGAGTAGCTGGAAACAGATGCAGTAAACACAGTTTCTTCTCTTGTTTTCATTTAGATTTTATTTTTTTACATAAAGCTTTGAAAAATATTGGAAACCTTTTTACATATGTCCCAAAATACACACGATGAGTGATTTGGGTAAGTCTTAGTTACAGTAAACACTAATTGCTTTTAGTTAGAGCACTTTTAGAGCTTCTAAAGCTTGGTATATCTGTGGTGGCAGTGGAAGTCCGAGCACGTTTGCCATGTTTAGAGTTTAAACCATCAGTTCATTGACACGTGCCTGCTTGTAACCTTTTCATATAGTGACTTGTTATCCAATTTATTGATCCTCAGTACTGCAGCAGGATTGTAATAGCCACTGTCAGCCTAACAGTTGTAGCTTGAGCAAAGCTGTGGGAAGTTGATATGGTTGAAGTTTTTTTGCTATCATAGCAAACTTTCAATGTCAAGACTAGTACAGCCAAGGTGGAGGTCAGCGCAGTGCTCTGCCTGTCATCTGTGTTTTTCTTTCCCTCATGTGCAGCTAAAGATAAGGCTGGTCTGTTTGTCCAGCAGCTGATAGTTGGGCCGACGTTGCAATGTCCCCCAAATTCCCAGATTACACCGAGCTTGCAGTTCAGGAAGGATTTCCTCCTGGTTCTGCTGGTTCCTGTGTGGCAGGAAGCTTGATGAGAGATGGGGTGAGGTGGAGGACAGGGCAGGACAGGGACTTGGATAGAGCTGACCTCCTTTCACCAATCACGCTGTTTTATCTTTTTGAAATATTTAAATGTTATTATTCACAACACTAGCAAGAGAAGACATTTCCAGAGGCGGCAGGCTGGAACAGCTTCTGGTGGGAGGAAATGTAATATGTAGCTTCTTGTTAAACTTTACAACCTGTATGTCAAGCATCCACAGCTGGGGTTTACCACACTCATTTACTATGTCCCAAGGAGAAGATACTATTAAGGCACCGTTTGTTTTTTTAATGACTCTTATGTTTTCAGTCATCCTTTAATTTCTGCACCGAAGTTTTCAACCCGCTCGTCTTCTCTCAAGGTCATTGTCTATTAAGTTATCCAAAATTTGACCTCTTTATGTCATTGCAACACCAACACCAGAAATTTGGTAAACAGGCTTGTTAAATCAGTGGTACTATCAGCAGTATTGTACTTGAAAGGACAATCTGTGGTCTGGGCTATTTTCAGAGTGGCCCTCTATTGGTTTTCTGCTCACTGAGCCGATCTGTGGGATAGAGTGTGAAAGCTGCTGCATGTTAATTTGCTGGTCATGCCTGGCTGCATTTGGCTGAGGTTGTTAATTACAGGAGCCCAGCAAAACCACCTGATCACTCACTGCTTCACACACTTGTGGCACCGACCGCTTTTCCTTTGACTTCTCTCTGTGCAAAGTCTTTCTCATCCTCGGCCCCCACCTGCCGAGCTCGCTGTGCATCCCAGTGCTCCAGATTGTTCATAGTGACCTGGAGTATGATGATGAAAGTGTAGGAAATCCTTCATTGACATGAATGTAAACAACAGTGTTTGTCTGGAGGAATACCCATTGTATCCCCGGGGCAGTATTTCTTTTTTTAGTGCCAAGTCAGCTATAAACGAGTCACGCTGCTGCATTTGAAGCTCGTAAATGTTTAACTCAAAGCTTTTCGTTTGTGAGGACTTGAGAGCGGCTGCCTTGGTTGAAGGAGTAAATTAGCTGTTGTTTCTTTACTTTTCAGCTGGTGTAAACAGGCTCAGCTGGAATCTGCTTGTGAACTGCACTGGGACAAGTGTTGCCAGTGATAACACTCAGGCGTGGTTGTTGTAGGTCTTGGTATTTTTAAGTTTGCAACCAAAGGTAAAACCTGGGGAAAAAATGAAGCTCTGTACTCATCGTTCACAAAAAATGAAAATGGTGTCATTACACTCTGCCTTTCTTCGTGTGCTGTTGTGTGGGTCGGGGTCAACTGAAAGTGCTGCTGTTAGAGGAGGAAATCACAAGTTGAAGCACCAGGGGGAACAATGAGCACAACACTGGAAGTGCTCTCAAGAAGGTCCTCTGTGTGGCTGAAGTAAAGGCTGAGATCACTTGACTTCTGATTCTGCCCCATTTGTACAACACTCAGGTTAGACTTGTGAACAAGTTCAGCCTCTTACCATCTTTTATCCCACACTGCGTAGGCAGGATAGCAACACTTAAAAAGTGTAGTGCAGTTCAATGCAAGTGTCATATTAAACTGTCCGTTCAGGATTTTATTAACCTTTCACAGTCTTGAGTTTTGTTTCTTATTTTCATGCTATCACCAACTAAACTTGTATCCGAGTCATCGTGGATGATTAAAGCTTTCTGACACTAATTGGCATAAATGGACTCTTTAATGTTACAAGTAAAATAAATCTGACCACTTTTAAACCAAAACATTTACCTGTTTCCAGATAAATGAAGAAGTATGCAGAAAGAAATCATTGTTAGTTCCCTGTCAGATAAACTGTTAATATAATGATGTCAGAAACATTGTGTGCTGCTTAGATTAGATGGCAGCTTTAACAGCTCTGTAGTGTTGCCTATTACAGCAGCACCTCCTCTCATAATGGTCTAGGCCAGCCGTCCCCAACCTTTTTTGCGCCACGGACCGGTTTATGCCCGACAATATTTTCATGGACCGGCCTTTAAGGTGTCGTGGATAAATACAACAAACCAAAACTAGTACCGGTATGGTCTAGGCCAGCAGTCCCCAACCTTTTTTGCGCCACGGACCGGTTTATGCCCGACAATATTTTCATGGACCGGCCTTTAAGGTGTCGTGGATAAATACAACAAACCAAAACTAGTACCGGTACCGAAAAATCTTAGCACAAACTTAACACGTGCTAAATGCCTTATTAAGAGAAGCACAGAGATGCTTTAGAATAGAAATGAGGAATATCTAACACACTGTATAATCATGGAAGCTGCCTGATTTGACTGTACATTATAAATTGTTGTAGACTTTATCAGTTCAATTTATATTTAATATATATTTGCTCATAAAGGTGAATGTTTTTAACTGCTTTATATTAGTTGATAGGGTCGGCAGGACTATGACTGTCATGGATATCAATTAATTATTTATTGTGTTGCAGTGATATCTACCAAGGTGGTCATGTTAACCACATGGTTTATTTAGGCTGCCCTCTGTACAACAGGAGGGGAAGATCTATTTCCTTTCATAAAGTCTATAATTTTTACTGTCTTGTCAATCAAGAATGGGAGCAGCTACTGGCATCAACAGGTAGACGACGCTTCTGCAGCAAAACAGAACTTAGCCATGCAGGTTATCAAACAGTCACTTGTAGATGTTATTGTTACTTACTGTGCTGCTTCACTGATTTAAGTACCCTTTGAGTCGGTAATAAAACCCAAATATGTGTATATCATGGTGCAGTTGATCGTAATGAAAGTGTCAGCTTCAGTCTCTCGGGGCTATTTATCAGAAGCAGCAGTGCCCCCCTCCCTAGAGACAACTAGACTTCTTAAAAATTGAGCCTTAAAAGAAGACTGGATTTTAATTCTCATGAGCAAAACAGCAAAACAGGTTTGTTTTTGTCCACATCTGCAAAAAGGCTCATGTGAGCCTATTACAGTGTGAAAAATGGCTGATGATCTAACAGATAGCTGCTGGGCAGACGAATGTACAACCTCATCCACGTATTTGTTTTAGATAAATCAGTGGAAGTTATAGAGGAACTAAGGTAAGCTGGGG